GTTTGGGAGTTCTTACGGCAGAGATTTCAAATACTGTGGAGGATTGCACTAAGATGGTTTTGGGAGAGCCTAGGGATACACATTCAGTAGAGGCTATAGTTGAGGAGGTTCCAAGCAATGAAGAATTGGTTGATTTAACAATTGACAATACTGTTAACAGAGAGAGAAATGTGTGTACTTCAGATTCTCAAATTGAGGAAGAGGATTTAGTTTTGAAGAGGGATTTCAAGGATACATCTGGGAGCCTAGAGCAAGAGGGGGACATTCAGGCAGTGGAGGTTCAACAAGGTAGCAGACCATCCAAGCAGAGGAACAAAACCCTATGTGCCTCCTTCAGACAGAATAACTAGGGGAATGCAAGTTGACAGTGGGTCACTGCCTAGCTCTCAATAATGCTAGGAGCATGGAATGTGAGAGGTCTTAATAGACCTCCAATGCAAAAGGAAGTAAAACAGTGGATTTTAGATCATAAATTTGTTTTTACTGTCCTTGTGGAAACTAGAGTTAAGGAGGGTGAGGCATCCAAAATTCAGAAAAAAATATGCCCTCAATGGAATTGGTTGGCTAACTATAAGTCTAGCTATTTGGGAAAAATTTGGTTTGGTTGGAATAGAACTTTATTTGATGTGGTTTTGATTCAAGAAGATGCTCAAGCCATGCTAGTGCAAGTGACACATACTGTTTCAGGTAGAAGCATCTATATTACTGGGGTTTATGCTGCTAATAGAGTTAAAGATAGAAGAGATTTGTGGAAATCTTTTAAGGTTCATGCTGAAAAGACTGGAACATTATTAGATACAGCCATGAAAAGAAAGGGGGTCTACAAGTCCCTCAATGTAGACTTAATGAATTTAATAGCTTGATTTATGACATTAGAATGGAAGATCTCCCTACAAATAATGGTGAGTGGTCTTGGAGCAACAAACATAATTTACATTCAAGGATCAGTGCTAAGTTGGATAGAGTACTAGTGAATTCCATTTGGTTACAACAGTTCAATGATTCCAAGGTGTCTCTTACACCTGCTTCTTTGTCAGACCATTATGGTCTGGCAATTCAATGGTATTTTGACTGCTCGAATGGTCCAAAACGTTTTTAATTCCTTAAGATTTGGTGTTTACGAGAGGAAGTTGAGAAGGTTGTTAGCAAAACATGGGAGATTGCAGTTACTGGCAGCCCTTTACATGTTCTTTAAAAGAAATTACGAGCTGTGAAGGTTGCTGTAAAGGAATGGAATAAGGACACGGGTACAATTTCAGAACACATTCAAACTGTCAAAGATGAGTTAAATTCAGTTCAAATGGAGATGTTACAAGGGCCAGAAACACAAGACGGTATAGCTAGAGAAAAAATTCTGTCTGGTAAGTTGCAAAATGCACTTGATCTTGAAGAAATATACTGGGCTCAAAAGTCCAGGATCAAACAGCTTCAAGAAGGAGATAAATGCACTGCTTTCTTCCACAATGTGGTTAGGCAAAGGAGATGTTCAAATTCCATTACTCAACTACAAAACTCTACTGGTGACATCTCTTCAGACCCTAATACTATTAAAGATTGGTTGGTTAAGTTTTGTGATGAATTGTATAAGAAACAAGGAGAAGTAGTTGATGAGTTGAGGGCACCTAGAAAGGTGTTAAGTGAAGAAGATTGTCAGAGTTTGGATTGTGGTATTTCACCGGAGGAAATAAAGAGGGTTGTGATGCAATTCCACCCTGATAAAGCACCAGGTCCAGATGGATTTCCTGCCCGGTTTTATCAACAATTTTGGAGGTTTATTGGACAAGATGTTATAAATGCTGTCAGTCATTTTTTCAATGAGAGTACCCTTCCACAAGGGATTAATTCAACTTTCCTTACTCTCATCCCAAAGGCTAATCATGGTGATAAAATTGCAAATTACAGACCTATTGCCCTGTGTAACCTGGCTTACAAAATTATATCCAAGATTTTGGCAAATCGACTGAGCAGAGTTCTCCCCAATATTATTGGACCTGAGCAAGTTGGTTTTATTAAAGATAGGAGGTTGCATGATAACATCCTTCTTGTTTCAGATTTAATCAAAGGGTTTGGTAAGAAATATGGTGATCCAACCATTGCTTTGAAGGTTGATCTGAAAAAAGCTTATGATTCTGTTGATTGGAATTTTATTCAGAGAGTGTCACAAGGGCATGGGTTCAGTGATAAATGGATCAAATGGATTTCAGTTTGCATCAATTCTCCAAAATTTTCTGTCCTGTGCAATGGAGTTCCTGCTGGTTACTTTTCTGCTTCCAGAGGCATCAGGCAAGGCTGTCCTTTATCCCCACTGTTGTTTGCTTTTATCACAGAGTACTTCAGTAATTTGATGGAGAAGGCTATTGAAGAAGGTAGAATCAAAGTGTCCAAGGCTGTGTCACAGACGAACCTGAAGATATCTCACACTTTTTATGCAGATGATCTATTAATGGTGGTGAAAGCAGACATTCCAACTGTCAAGGCTATTGATGAAGTGTTCAAGCAGTTCAGAAATGTTACTGGTTTGCAAGTAACTAAGGAGAAAATTTCAGTTATTTTCTCTAAGTCAGTGAGAGGTAGAAGAATGATGTCTAATATATTGCAGTTCCAAACTGAAACTTTTCCTTTCAAATACCTTGGGTTGCCTTTGTCCAACAATAATATGAGAGCTGGGGGTTTCAGAATGCTTATGGATAAGATTAATGGGAAGTTAACTTACTGGAACACTATCAATTTGTCTATAGCAGGGAGGATTGAATTGTTGAGATCAGTGCTATACTCATATCTCTACCATTGGGTTTTTGGTTTTAAATTCCCTTGGGAGGTCAAGGTTGGATTAGAAAGGAAATTCAAACATTTCTTGTGGAGTGGAAAACAAGATGTTAAAAAGATGTCTCAACTAAAATGGAGTCAATTGACTCTTCCAATTTCAGAGGGAGGTTTCAACCTTAGAAGAGTTCAAGACATAGATGTAGCAGCAAAAATGACCTTGTGTTGGGATTTTGTTCAGAAGAAAGACAAGCTTTGGATCAAATGGCTGCATGCAATGTACCTTCAAAGAGTTTCATTTTGGAATGCAGTCCCAAAATCAACTGATTCTCCTATTTGGAAGCAACTTTTAGGGGTTAGGCAGTTGATTTTACAAAATATTGAGTTTAGAATTGGAGATGGGATGAAATTCAAACTGCTTATCGACCACCCTTGGTGTGAAAACCAATCATTAATCCAAAGATTTGGGGCTACTTTGTTTAGACAGGTGGACAGACAAGCTTTATTGGCAGAGATTATTGTTGAAGGTAGATGGGAAAGGCCTGATTATATTCCTGAGAGAGTTTTTAATGTTATACAAAGGATAAGAATTATACCTGGTTCAGATATTATTGGCTGGAAGCATGGTGGCTTTTCTTTAAAATCAGCTTGGGATTTATGTAGATATACACATCAAATTGTGAATTGGTGTGACATTTGTTGGAAGCATTGCAGACCTCGAATTGCTGTGGTGGTTTGCATTATTTTACACAACAAAAATTTATCTTTGGTGAATTTGCAGAAAAGAGGGATTACCTTAGCTGCAATCTGTCACAATTGTATGAGGAATGTGCATTCTAATGACCATTTGTTCTGTACTTGTATCTATGCAAACATGGTCTGGACAGAGATTTTTTATTTGCTACATATAGTGTATCCAGGCTGTACTTCTGTGCTGCAGCTGGTCGATTGGTTTGGTTTGCAAACCACTACCAATTCTACTAAATCAAAAGTGTTGAGTGCAATCTTTTCAACTGCTATTTGGAAAATTTGGGCTGTTAGAAATGAATCTTTGCAGAAGGGAGGTCACGAGCAAGCCACACATGTTGCTCAAATTATTGTTTGGGAGGTTCTATCTCATCTCAAGATTCGATTGGAAGACTAATCATTTTTTAATGCTGCGTTTTTCTCTGGTCTTTTTGACAGACTTCAGTTTGGTCGCTGATCATTTGGAATTGGAGTTTATCTCATCGGAAATCAAGATTGATGTTTGAGAAGGCCTTTGAATTTCTCTGTTGTTGCAGTTTTTTTCTCTGATATTCTCAATGCTGCTGGTTTGAGGGAGATTGTTGCAGAGATGCAAGCTTTAATGGATTTTAAGATCAAAAAATTTTAGAACAGGATTTTTTTTAGTTCTGTTTTATTTTGTTTTTGTTCCTTCTGGTTCACTCTAGGCTAGCTTGATTTTCTTTTGCTGGTTTGAAAATGGACTTAGTCCATTACTTGCTTTTGTACTGGAGGACGTCCTCCATGTTTTTGTAATTGTACTATTCTGGTTTTTTTTCTTATATAAAACAAAAATCCCGTTCAGGAAAAAAAAAAAAATCTCCTCCAAGAAATGACTATGGATAGTACAGCATACCAAACAAAACAAAATGCTTCCGACCATGCACTAGCCCAAGCTTTGGTGGCTGGGTTTACTGGTAAACTCAAAGGATGGCGGGATCATTATATCTTAATGACACCCAACACACCTGCATTTTACAAGCTTACAAAACAAATTTTGATGAACCTTTATCAAGGATGAAAATGAAGAAAATGAACAAGATGTTGTAGCAACATTAATTTTTTCATATAGGGAGAAAAAGAGGTTTAGTCATATGTATTTAGGCTTAGTAACATTGATTTTATTTTATTCTAAAAATAATATATGCACACAATGGCATTCTCTTAATTTAATTTATTTATTACAAATTAGGGCTGGAGAAATCAATTAAAGACTTATTTCATTAACGCTTTTAATTTGGTCAAACATAATGGTCATATCATTCCTCCATAATATTTTATCATTGGAATGTGAATGACCAGTTCATTCATGCACCATTCTCACTTTCATTCCATTTCATTCCTGCTTTTACATAACATAATATAGAGAATTGCATCATTGCATCAACATAGATCACATTAGCAAAAGATACATATATATATAAGAACATACAAACGACTAACTTCAAAACTAATCAAATTAGAAGACGTACGATTTTGGGTAGGGAAAATCCTTGTGGAACGATAAAGCAGTGTTGAAGACAATACTTCTCCCACATCTCCAATCGCTTATCCAGAACAGATTGAATCATGTTTCGAATGAAATCCACACCCTGTGAATAAAACAATCACAAAATCAAAAGTATGCAAACCCTATGAGAACAAGAAAATCACTTACACTCCATTCAAGAGATGAATTAAGCATTAATCAGTGAATCAACACACAAAACATACTGAAAATGACCAAAATGAAAAGGAAAAAAATGGGTTTACCTTGCTTAGATCGTCGGATCTATCTGTGCCCTCAACTTTCAATTGTGTTGACGCCTCTCTACACGAGCAAGACCAGATCATAATTTTTAAGTTCAACAAGTAGAAATTTGAAATAGTAAACAAATGTAGATGTATTTACATATATAGAGAGAGAAAGAGGAAGATAGAGAATTACAGATGAAAGAAGTCGAAAGCTCCATCGACCAAGTCGTCAACTAAATTAAGGACCTCGTTGATGAAAAGTTGGGGGTTTAGATTCAGAGAATTGAAAATCGCCTCGCTTTCACTACATTCCATCTTCACGCACTTGAAGACCGAGAATCGAGAGATAGTTTAGAGAGAGAGTATAAAGAGTTCAAATTGAAGCTATTTTCCCTCCAAATGAACTCTGTCCCAGAAAGAAGATTGCATCTGAAATCTGACGGGTCTTTAAATGTGACTCCTTTTTGGAAAGCTAAGAAAGGGAACGGTTACTGTTTTGATTATGGTAAAAGGGAGGGCCGAGATGCTCCCAACATTTAGGCTTCTTTGACCAACACGAGAGAAAAAAAAAATGTCAGCATTCGTTATTGGAAAAAAAATAAAAAGAATAGTATTAACCTCGTTTGCATAGATTATTAGGGAAAAAAAAAAAAATTGATAATATTTTTGTTCGAAAAAAATAAACAAAATTTTTATTATACCCTTTTGTATTTATATTACAAAATAAAATATATGTAATCATTATAGGGTTTAATTCAGTTATACCTAGTTTGTCCAATCTTTAAGTAGGCCCCATCACATTTACAAAAATTCAGTCAAACTCCTTGTCAGACATTGTCGACGGAGAAAAATAAATAAATGAATGTAATAACTAATTTACCCTTTTGTCGTTTTCCTATATACACTTAACCAAATAACGTGTTTTATAACACTCACCAAGATTAGCTTTATTTGTTGAACCAAACAACCAATCAATGCTAATCTTGTAACCAAACACTTCCATCCACTCTATTTCCCTAACCCAAATACTTTCTTATTTCATTTTCACTTTCACGACTAACCCTAGAGAGGCAAAGAGATATGCAGAGAGATAAAACCCTATAAGAAGTTGAACCCTACACCAAATACGCTTGATTAAGCAACATATCTGCAGATAGTTAAAGGTTCGAAGGTAGCTGTTGAGAAAATCTCGCGATTTCAAGATATGAATTTTGTCTCTCTATAAATCGATTTTGGTTTTATTTGATAGGGGTTTAGGGTTTATAAAAGTGGGTTAGTTTATGAGTGTTTTTTGTTTGGTTGTTTTGTTTTGGGGGTTTCGGGTTTTGTTAAATTTGTATCTGTAACTTAGGATCTTGATTTGGGGGTTTAGAGTTAGTTTATGAGTGTTTTTTGGTTGGTTGATTGAATGTGTTGAATTTTTGTTCAATTTGTCTTTAATTTGTTCGATTGATTTAGGGTTTTATTTGAAAATGCATGAATTTGTTTAATTTATGTTAAAATTCTGTAAAATTGATATTTTATTGGTTTAATTTAAAATGGGGGTTTAGGGTTTTCTTTATTTTAATTGGACAGTGTCTTTTTATGCCATTTATTTTATATTCTCATATGTGTTTGCTATATATGTTGAATTTTTTTTTTTTTTTTGAATTATTGACAGTGATGGGAGATATTTATCATAATTTTCATGTGCACTACCAGTCAAAATGTAGAACTGTTAGTCATGTAGACACTGATAAGTATGGTTTGTATGATTTCATGGAAGACATAAGTAGAGCTATTCTTGAGGATTATCCTGGTGGTTTGGGGTTTCCCTATGTTGTATACTGTGATGTTTCAGGTTCTTATTCTAAGATGTTGGTTGGGAATGAAGTTAATTTGCTAGATATGTTGTACTTAAATAGTGAAAAAAGTGACATTAATGTGTATCTTGAGATAGAAGAAGTTGAACCCTTAAATATATCAGTTGATTTAGATCCTGATATGGATGAGCCTTATGAGGATATGGATCATGGAGTGGATGCTAAAAATAGTGAGGGACTGAGTGATGAAAATGATGAGGAACTGGATGATGAAAACAATGAGGAAAAGGTTAATGATGTGGAGAAAGATGATGTGTATGATTTTAAGATAGAGAATCAAGATTATATGGCAAAAGGTGATACTGATTGCGTTGAAACTGACACTGATAGCTCAGATGATGAAGACTATAATAGACTGTGAGGATGGCCTATCAGATTATGAGTCATGTGATGAAACACGTTCTACTTCAAATGTAGAGATTGGTGTGAAATATCCAAAGAGAAATAGATATCAAAGAACAAGGATTGAGGTAAAAAAATGAAAGGAGAGGGATATGTAAAGGTTAAAGGACAACCTACAAAACTAGAACAATGGATGTTGTTTCAAAATGTGAAACATTATAGAGAGGTGTTGACAGATTATACAGTCCAAGAAGGGCTTCAAATTAGAAAAACGAAAAATGAGAGTACAAGGGTAACTTGTGTCTGCAAAACCAAAGGTTGTACATAGAGGATCCATGCCTCCCCACTGCCTTGTAAGACTTACAAGATAAAAATATACAATGACATTCATTCATGTGTGAGGGGTGATAAAAATTCATTAGCCAATTCTACATAGATTATAAGAAGTTTTTTAACAAACTCAAACAAAACCAACAGATGACAATTGAAAGTCTGCGATCTACACTTCATAAGAAATATGGCATTAGGGTAAAGAAACAGCAATGTTATAGGGCAAAAAGAAAGGCATTGGATGTGATTGAGGGTAACCATGGAAAGTCATACAGTCTATTGCCCTCTTACAGAAATGAAATTAGGAAGACAAACCTTGGCAGTTTGGTCACAATTGATTATTATGATGCTGAATTTAATGGAGTCAATAAATTCAAAAAGATTTTCATTGCTTTTGATGCTTGACGAGACTGCTTGTGTACGCCAAAATAATGTAGTCAATGTGCGGTTCAAGAAAAGCCTTTTAGGTCAGGTTTAAATTTATGAAAACCACTACCACCATTACTACTAACGTAGCAAGAGTGAGTAAGGATCATCCCAAGGGATTATACGTGTTGGAATTTAATTTCAACTCTAGTGGGTCACAAGATTGCAAATGAGAGATTAATTGTTTGAATTAAACTAAAATTCAATTAATTAAAATGCAATTAAAATAAACTAAGTTGAGTTAGGGATTTAAGAGATATGAAAAGAGGTCTTAGGGTGTTGGAATCATCACTAAGCTCATGTAATTAACCACTTGCTTTCCATTAATGGGGAAAACATTTATGCAATCAAGATGTGGCCACAAACATAAACACAATTTGCATGAAAAAGTATGAACTATTTAATGTAAGAATGAATTATCTACCTAACCAACAAGTAAACTAAGTGTAGAACAACCCACCAAGATAAATGTATAATCCATCAATTAGTTAACAAATGGGGCTAATGAGAGCATACATCAATCTAGAGAATCATGGAATTTGCAATAATAAGTGTAGAGTATCAATTCAAGCATAAATTGTCTACCTACCTACAAGTATGAATTAAATTGTAAAACAACCTATCAAGCATAAGTATAATCCATCAAATTGATTGAAAAACCCATTCAATGAAAACCATGCTTAGCTATCACTAAATCCTTAATTAATCACACATAGACATGCAACCAACATAAAAAATATAGTGTAGAGATCAATTCCTAAATAATCACACATAAGACAACATGTAATTAAAATAGAGAATCATAAGGAAGAATTAAATCAACAATCATAAGGCTAACCACTAATCACAATAATATATATATAAATCCCCAAAAATAGAAATACAATGGTTTAGATTACATAAGACTTAGGGCTCATCCAAGCCCCAAGTGTAAATCTAGCCATTCATGGAGGATGTGGATGTGGTCATGAAACCTTTAAGGGCAAGCTCCAAACATGGCTTCATCTTCTTCTTCCTCTTCTTCTTCTTCTTCTTCTTTGAAGCTCTAGAGATAGAGAATATGTGGATCAAGAGATGTGTTCTTGAGATGTGCCTCCACTTCCCTCTTTTCTTCTAACCCTAATCTCTAACTTTCTAGATAGAGAAACTAATGAAAATATAGAAATTACAATGTAAAAATATGAATCTCCCTACAAAAATGGTTCAATCTCTCATATATACAAGGCTTTGATAGCCTAAAAATGTGAGAACTCGGCCCTAGGATCTTCCCTTTCAAGCATAGCCCGAGTTGGTTCAAAATGAGCTTTAGATTTGCTTTTTTATAACTTTTACGAACAGTTTGATCAATCCAACTTTTCTTCGATCGATCAGAGTTGGTTCGATCGATCAGACTTTTCTTCAATCGATCAGAGTTGGTTCGATCGATCAGACTTTTCTTCAATCGATCAGACTTGGTAGATTTTCAGCATCAGCCTTTTTTTGCTCCAAATCAGCCTCCTTTTGCTCCAAATTCTCACCAAGACTTAGTTTGACTCCAAAAAGGCTTTAAGAAGCCATTTTTAGCTCGTTTTAACTTTATTGACCTGAAAAGGGAAATAATGCAAAATTAGAATAAAACGGGAAAATAAGATAGAATAAGGTCCTAGAATACTCAAGCTTAAGGGGTTTAAATGCGCACTTTTCAGCACTCGTCAATGCTTTGAGGTTAGGGTTTATAAAAGGTTGCAGGCCATTCATTGGTTGGATGGCTGTTTCTTAAAGGGTCCACATGGTGGAGTGCTTTTGTTAACTGTGTGACCTTGGATGGCAATAATGGTCTATTTCCTATTTCTTATGTTGTGGTAGAAAGTAAAGGAAAGAAGATATGGACTTTTTTTTATATATAGATAATTTGAAGGATATTCTTGGTACAGATGCACAAGCCAAACATTGGACAATTATGTCTGATATGCAAAATGTATAATTTATTTCTTTAATTTGTTCATTATTACTTTAAATTATGTTATTTCACAAGAATTGTTTATTTTATTTTGCATTTTAGGGTCTTGAGGTTGCAATTTCAAACTTGTTTCCTAAGGCAAGCCATATAATATGTTGTAGGCACTTGTTTAACAGTTTTAGGAAGGATAATCCTGGCCTGTTGTTGAAAAAATATTTTTGGAAGGCTGCTAGATCATGCAATCAGCTTGAATTTAATGATGTAATGAATCACATGAATAGGCTTTCTACAGAAGCTCATGATTGGCTAATGGACAAGCATTTGGAAATGTGGCCTAGGGTGAGGTATAGTGAGACATCAAAGAGTAACCATATCACAAATAATTTGACAGAATCCTTCAACAACTAGGTTGGTTGATAAGCGCCGAATATTGCATATTCAAGTGCCCTTAATTGCATTATTTAAGTCAATTGTTTGTTTAATTATGTAGATTACCTTCATATGCATGTTTTTGCATATTTTCAGGTTCATTGGCCAAAAAGAAGCAAGAAGGATGCTTTGTGGAGTTTTGAACATCAAAGGTCACAATGCTGAAT